GTGTGCTGTAGCAGTAAGGAATTCTTTTATTATAGCCAGAGGGATAATGCAAGAATCACAGTAATGAGTCTGTCTAACAGCAATAGCTTGCATCGATATAGTACCTCTAAAGTAGTAAACCATCCCATGGCACCTAAGCAAACAAAACAAAATTGGTACTAAATCAGCAAAGGATATTAGAACAGATAACCAAAACCTTGGTCAGTGAGTTAGGTTTTAAGAAAAGTCTCAAAGGAGGGGAATGAAGACACTGACATGGCCACGCCTACACTGTTGTTTAAGTTCTACTCAACAAATGGCGCGCTTATCCAGTCATTGTTAGTAGTGCAAAAAACAGTAAATGAAATGAAATGTAGTTTAAGGTATTTGTACTAAGACAAGAGGAGATGAGAATTTGACATTATTTACTACGGAGAAATGAAAGTTCAGTGGAAGTACGATTTGTTGTATGGTATAATTTGATGAATACGTCTATGTAAGGCTGTTGCTTGACTAATCTGACACTAATTTTGACGCAAGTCCCTTGATGTTAGTGAAGAGGATTTTGCAGGGTCAAGTACATAGGGTATCTCTTTATTGTTTCTAGTGCCTATATTGATGCTAGATAGTCTGTTCAGTTTCATTCTGATTCAAATGTATGTTGTAGTTGATACAACTCAGTGGCTAGGTGATTTTAGAGAACAGTTAAGATTCAATCACACAAACTATGTTGGTTGTAAGTCTGGAGTCACATATAGGCCAGAGTGGGTGAGGAAAGCAAATTTCCTTCAAGGACATTGATAACCAAATGGTGGTTTTATCTTTTACTGACAATCCAGCAGTTTTATGAGTGTCATCTTTGAGTTTAACATTTTGTTAGCTAATTGAATATGAATTCCCCCAGCTCCTATGGTAGGATTTGAAATCATGTCTCCAGATTCTTAGACTGGGCACCTGTATTAATGCTCAAATGACATAACCATGATGCTACCGTTCCTGTTTTCAAATGGGCATTTGAATAATCTTGTCAATTGAAATATTAGTTTTTAGGGGCATCATAAGGATTGTACAGTCTTTTCTGATATAAAAACAAAATTGTGGGACGTCCTCAGCAGTTCTGTTAACTTAATGTTTCAGGCCCAGATGATCTTTCATCAGAGAGGGAGGGTCACTGGACATGAAACGTTAACTCTGTTTTTTCCTTCACAGATGCTGTCAAACCTGCTGAGTTTTCCAGCAACTTTGTTTTTGTTCCTGATTTAAAACATCCACAGTTCTTTTGGTTTTTATTTAATGAAATGTAAATTTTTTTTAAGCCAGTGGTGATGATGTGTGGTGTAGAGGGGTGGTGTAAAGACGGGGAGTCTTTTCTGATTCTTTTCTTTTACTGAACAGACTTTAGATACCAGATGCCTGGTTGAGGGATCCGACAGACTGTTTTCTGGATCCATAGGTAGAAATCTAAATCTATTTCAATGTGTGTATCATTATAATGTGACCATTGCTCAGTCTGCTTGGGTTGGCTGAAAGGTAGTTTTTGGGAATGGGTGATGGCCAGTGTGGCAATCCATTTTATTTTAGTGGAGCATAGAGAAATACTCCTGCTCTTCTTAGGCTTAAATTTCCAAACATTTTTTTCACTTACTTTTTTGGGCCAGGTTTTACAGTCTGCAACACCACATGGTTACCTGAAATTCACCATTTCCTCTTCTGTTACGTCCTATTTTAGATGCTTTAGTCTGATTTCTATCTTATCCAGAGTCTATGCTGTTGAATGTGACTAATAACATGTTGGGATTGTGGCTACATTTCAGTATGTTTACACACAATTTGACCCTTCCACTGTCTTTGATATTACCTTCTGAAAACTCTTAATTTCAGCTGCTGTTTTATTTCATTTCTTCCTAATTCCCCTCCTAGAAGTAAGAAGTTAGACCTGATTCACTTTAATTTCAGAGATAGAAGTTTGTGGTCCGAAGACTTGAACACAAGCTCTCAAATTTGATGTATTGGTGCTGAGGAAGTGTTGTCCTGTCAGAAACACTGGCTCTTGGATGGGATGTTAAATGGATCCTTTGTCTTCCTCCCAGGTGAATATAAGAAATCCCATGACACAATGTTGAAGAATATCTTCCCAGTGACCTGGTCAAAATTTATTCCTCAACTAGCATGACCAAGAAACAAATGGGCACACAGTTTGCAATAGTAACAATGGTGAAACATTGAGCATTTGTTGCCATTACTCCACTGAAACTAGATGGAGAAGTTGCTGTCAGTCACAGTCATTCTTAATAGAGTGCACTCTAGACCTCAAGACAGAGAAGCAGAAGTAGGCTATTCAGCCCATCAAGTCTGCACTGCCATTCAATGAGATCATGGTTGATATGATAATCCTCAAAATTTATTGCCTTTTCTACATAACCCTTGACTCCCTTATTAATTAAAAATCTGTTGATCTCAGCCTGGAATATACTTAATGACCCAACCTTTACAGCGTTCAAGAATTCCACAGATTGATTACCCTCAGAGATGGAATTCCTCTTCATCTTTGTCTTAAATAGACAACCCCTTATTCTGATATTACGCCCTCTGGTTCTAGATTATCCTACAAGGGGAAACAACTTTTTTGAATCCTTTACATCAAGTCCCTTTACAATCTTGTACAGTTGAATAAAGTTGCCTCTCATTTTTTCTAAATTCCAATGAAGACAAGCCCAACCTACTCAATACCTCCTTATAAAATAATCCTTCCACGCTTGGTATCAGCTTCATGAACCATCTTTGGACTGCCTCCAATGCCAATATATATTTCCTCAGATAAGAGCACAAAACTGTACACGGTATTCCAGCTTGGTCTGGCTAGTGCCTTGCATAGTTTTAGCAAAGCCTTCTTTCTTTTATATTCCATTCCCTTTGAAATGAAGGCCAACAGTCCATTTATCTTCCTTATCACCCATCAAACGTGGATGCTTTTGAGTAAAGATCTCCACAGACTGCAATCTCCATTGCAATCATAATTTGATGAAAATGTTGACTTTTACATGGCTAGGTTTGCTGCAAATATTAGATATTGAAGTGCAAATAGGTTTACTCGTGCTTACCATAATAGGTACTATTAAAATCCTTACTGGCTCTCAATTGCTATCTTTACTGTGGATTTTTTTTTAAACTTCCTATTAAAAAAATATTTTTCTTAATCCAGTAAGAATCATTTACTTCACTATCTGAAAACATAATTTGGAAATGAATGATAAATTTTACGTGGAGGCAGACTTAACCTAGGCATTGGTTGATTATCTAAGTAGAATCAACGTGTTGGGTTATGGAGAAAAGGCAGGAGATTGATACAAAGTTACAAACGTAAGAACAAGGAACAAGAGTAGGCCATTCAGCCCTTCAAGTCTGGGCTGCCATTCGGTAAGATCATGGCTAACCTGAACTCTATATTCCTGCACATCCCTGATGATCCTTCCACCCTTGGTACTCAACAATCTATCTACCTCTGCTTTCCAAATATTTAAATATTCTGTATCCATTGCCTTTTGAGGAAGAGAATTCCAAAGGCTCTTAATACTCTGAGAAGAAAGTTAAAATGCTCAGACAGTTAGTGAAATCATGTTGCACTGAATGGCCTCCTGCACTAGAATATTTGTGCCCAAACTCCCTGGTTTGCTGAGAATACTTCAATGAGATTGGTCGCTCCTCTGCTTGCTCACAGTCCCTGCTGTTGCACATCAAGACATGCCCTTGACTTGGCACCAAATTTAAGCTGCTTTTGGAAAAGGTGCAAATCCACACCTCAGAACTCACTAGATCTATTTTTTTCAGGGTCTGTGCTAAGTGTCAAAATTTGGGCAATATTTGGCCCTTATTACATTGTTATTTGTGGGACTTGTAGCCTGTCGCATATCTGTTGTTACAATGGTGACGACGCAATATTGAATAACACTTCAGAATATCCTGACATTGAGAGGCATGATACTAATGCACATTCTTCATTCACATAAGATATAAATGCACATCTGTGTGTTGCTGCAACCTAATAATTATACTTTGTTCTAGAGCATTTGTTATTTTAAGTATTTTCAGTTAGACAGATAGTTGTCTGTGTATTGAAGAACTGCAACATAGGTAGTTGAGACAGAAGGCGAGACAATAGAATAAGCTTTCAAATTATTTGTTGCACCATAGAAACTCAGAAATGTTGTGCTGCCTTGTAACAAACAGCTGCATTTACCGTATAACATTTCAGAGGCACTTTAGTCAAAATAAGATGTCTTATGTGAAATATTGAGCACTGGAGGTTATCTGCCAGTGCAAATTATGTGCAGTTTGGAATGATCTTTTGAGTTCACTAGTTGGTCAGTGAGACAATTAAATGAAATGATCGACTTCACAGATGTAAATGAATTCCGTGACTTCAAAACCGAAGTAATGTATCACTTGACTCACTTTCTTTTTCACTTTAAGGATTTTACCTGGTGTGTAACCTGGAGGTTTCTGATGGCAGGTGAAGTAGAACAGTGCGCGGTCCGTGTTGTTGCAAGAAAAAAATAATTAGACAGGAATCTGTACTGTTCTAAGCTGCTGTGAAGTCAGAAGTTCTGCTGTTTGTGGAGCTCAGATACTGGTTGAAGGGCAAATGTACCAGAAACGCCTGCCAATCGATCTAACATGCATTGTTATTAAACCAGAACGCTGTGGCACTTTCTAAAGGGAATAAAATCTATTTAACACAGCCCCCAAACTACAGAGAAATAAAACCTACTTTTTCAAATGGCAAATATTCGTTATAATTTTCGATATCAATCGTTGCTTTTAAATAAAATCTATGCGAGGCTCATTGGAGAATTGTCACCGTTCTAGAGATTGCAATGTTGAGCAGATCGCAAACTTTTAAGCTTGTCTATTTCAACTCCAAGCAACCTCTTCCAGGATGACCTGAATTTTCACGTCCTTAAGCTGAAACGCTGACGAACAAACCCATACAAAATCGATTTAATGGAAATTCCTGAACTTACCCCAGTAATCACGGCAGTGGAAATACAACTGATGGCAGCAAAGCTGATGAGGGTGAGGAAAAGTCGCTTCATGGTGTTCTTTCAATGAAGTTTCGGCGGTTTGGTCCTCGCTGCTGAAGTCTCACCGGTTGCTCGTCCTGTCAGACTGACTGGATCGGCTGTGCTGAACCTGGGCGGCTGTAATATAACGGAGCCTGAGCATAGCTCGACATGACTCATCAGAGGTCGCGGCTATACTGCTAATTGTCAATACTGCGTGAAATACCGCGCAGCAAACTTGGGAAAGAGCATTAGGAACTGGGACTCTGACATTGTCGAAGCACACACACTCTGTCAGTCCCAGCGCTGTTCACAGCGAAGTTCCACAATTGCCAGACCCTCAGTCATGCTGCATACCTGGAAAAAATAACATGAAACTGCCCAAAGTCATCAACAAGTAGAAGCCGTTCTCCTAATGCGAGTTCAGGAGCGGGGACCATAATTTATTGTTTGGACTCATTACGGATGTAAGGACAGTGCTGTAACTTCAACTGCTGCAAATAGATGCCAAAACCCAATTACACGGATTTATAAAAACTAAAATAAAGAAGTGCGGATGCTGGAGATCTGAAACAAAACTAGAAATTGTTTGCCGGTCTGGCAGGATCTGTGGGGAGAAAGCCAGAGTTGATGTTTCTAGTCCGGTGACTCTTCTTCAGTTCTGCCCGACCTATTGAGTTTCACCAAATTTCTATTTTTGTGATAAGGAAATTAATACTTTGAAACAAATCCTTGCATAAAGAATTTTAAAACACGCAAATTTTCAAGCAGTTAATCTGCAGTAAATTGATCTGTTGAGGACTTACTGGTTATTTTATAATAAATCTTTATTAATAGGTTTATGCTAAATTCTAGGCTTTGCACCATTGAACAGTTACAGAGTCATAGAACTGTACAGTATGGAAACAGACCCTTCTGTCCAACTAGTCCATGCCGATCAGATAGCCCAAATTAATCTAGGCCCATGTCCCTCTAAACCCTTTGTATTCATATACCCTTCCACATGCCTTTTATATGTTGTAATTGTACCAGCCTCCACCACTTCCTCCTGCAGCTCATTCCATACATGCACTACCTTCTGTGTGAAAAGGTTGCGTGTTAGGTCCCTTTAAGATTTTCCCCCTCTCACCTTAAACCTATGCCCTCTAGTTTTGGACACCCCTACCTTTGGCTATTCACCCTACTCATGCCCCTTGTGATTTTATAATCTTTTGTAACATCACCCCTCAGCTCCAATGCTCCAGAGAAAATAGCCTCAGCCTATTCATCCTCTCCCTATAGCACAAACCCTCCAACCTTGGCAACATCCTTTTAAAACTTCTGTGAACCCTTTCAAGCTTTACCACATTCTTCCTGTAGCAGAGAGACCAGAATTGCACTCAGTATTCCAAAAGTGGCCTAACCAATGTCCTGTACAGCTGCAACATGACCTCCAACTCCTTTGCTTAATGAACTGATCAACAAAGGCGAGCATACCAAACACCTTCACTATCCTGCCTACCTTTGACTCCACTTTCAAGGAACTATGAACCTGCACTCAAAAGTTTCTATGTTCAGAAACACTCCCCAGGACCTTACCATTAAGTGTATAAGTCCTGCCCTGATTTGCCTTTCCAAAATGCAGCATTTCACATTTATCTAAATTAAACTCCATCCGCTACTCCTCGGCCCATTGGCCCATCTAATCCAGGTCTCATTGTAATCTGAGGTAACCTTCTTCACTCTCCACTCCACCTCCAATTTTGGTGTCTTCTGCAAACTTACTAACAATACCTCCCACGCTCACATCCACACCATTTATATAAATCATTGATTAATTTTGTTTTTTTTTGGAACTTGATAATCTGTACTACTAAAACATTTAAGTGCATCCAGCAATCATAGATATCACACAGGATAGCAAATGAAAAACAAAGTTAAGATATTGAGTGCTTATCAGTTTTAGTGTGAAAGTGCCAAGCATGTTCCAATTCTCAAGTTTCCCCAAACAGTGTGTATAATATTCCCTAAACTTGAACTGACCTTACCTATGCTTAACAACAACAGGACTTAGTTACCATGAAGGATGCATCTTCGTGAAATTATTGTATTAACGTAAACCTTTCATGAGTTCAGGTCATCTCAAAGTGATTTACACCTAATGAGGCAATTCTAAGCTGTAAGAAATGCTCTCCCAAAGAACAATGAGCTAAACAACTCGATAATTTGTTTAGATATTGATTGAAAAATATATGTTGGCCAGAACATGGGAAAAATTTTCTGTTGCTCTTTGAATAGTGATGTGCAATCTTTTCTTTTATATTAACTTTATTGCCTGTCCCTAGTTACTGTTGAGAAGATGGTGGCGAGCTGCCTTCTTGAAGTGCTGCTGTCCATGTGCTATAGGTTGACCCACAATGCCATTAGGGAGGGAGTTCCAGGATTTTCACCCAACGACAATGAAGGAATGACGATATATTTCCAAATCAGGATTGTGAGTGGCTTGGAGCGGACCTTACACGTAGTGGTGTTCCCATGTATCTGCTGCCCTTGTCCTATTAGATAGAAGTGGTCATGGATTTGGAAGGCGCTGTCTAAGGATCTTTGGTGAATATTATAATGCATCTTGTACATGGTACACACTGCTGTGACTGAATGATGGTAATGGAGGGAATGTATATTTGAGGGTATAATGCCAATGAAGTGAGCTGCTTTGTCCTGGATGGCGTCAAGCTTTTTAAGTGTTATTGGAGCTGCACCCATCCAGTCAAGTGGGGAGTATTTCATCAAACTTCTGCTTGTGCCTTATAGACAGTGGACAGAATCTGGGAATTCAGGAGGTGAGTTACTCACTGCACAATTCCTAGTCTCTGACCTGCACTTGCAGCTGCTGTATTTATTTAACTCGTCTGATTGAGTTTCTGGTCAATGGCAACCCCCAGTGTCTTGATAGTGGAAGATTCTGCAATAATACTGTCATTGAATGTCCAACTATGATGGTTAGATTCTCTCTTGTTGGAGAAGGTCATGGCCTGGCATTTGTGTGATGTGAATGTTACTTGCCACTTGTCAGCCTAAGCCTGGATATTGTCCAGATTGTGTTGCATTTGAACATGGACTGCTTCAGTATCTGAGGAGTCATGAATGGTGCTGAGCATTATGCAATCATCGGCGAACATCCCCACTTCTGACCTTATGATGGAGGGAAGGTCATTGATGAAGCAGCTGAAGATGGTTGGGTCTAGGACATTACCCTGAGGAATTTCTGCAGAGATGTTCTGGGGCTGAAATGACAGACCTCCAATAGTCACAACTTTTCCTATGTGCCAGGTATGACTTCAATCAATGGAGAGTTTATCTCCTGATACCTATTGTTTCCAGTTTTGCTAGGGCTCCTTGATGCTATAAATGATTGAGTGTAGTCTTGATGTCCAGGGCTGTCATTCTCATCTCACCTCTTAAATTCAGCTTTCTTGTTCATATTTGAAGCAAAATTGTAATGAGGTCAGGATCTGAGTGGCCCTGGCGGAACCCAAACTGGACATCACTGAGCAGGTTATTGCTGAGCAGGTGCTGCTTGATAGCATTGTCAATGACTCCTTTCATCAGTTTAATGATGATCGAAAGTAGACTGATGGGATGGTAATTGGCTGAGTTGGATTTTCCTGCATTTTGTGTTCAGGACATACCTGGGCAATTTTCCACACTGTCAGGTAGATGCCAGTGTTACATCCACCTGAGAGGGCAGATGTAGCCTTTGATTAACAACTCATCCAATATAATGCATTGAGTAATGCACCATTCAGTTGGAACAGCGCTGAAGTGACAGTCTAGTTTATGTGCTGAAATATCTTGGATGGAACAGCAATACACAAAGTCTGACTCAGAGTGAGAATTCAACCATTGAACCATAGCTGACAAAGCTTAATTTTTCAGCAGAATGTTATATTGGGTATAACACATTAAAACAATCCTGTCCTAATAAATGATTGAGGCATTTCTACTGACCATCAAATTGTCTTGCTTCAGATGTCACACTATTTGCTGCTAAGCTGAGTTTTTTAATAAATTATTATTTCATGGTAAGTGGGCATCTCTGTCAACACCAGCATTTATGCCATTGGACAGAGTGGTTTGCTAGTGGGCAGTTAAGAGTCAATCACATTGTTGTAGGTTTGGAGTCACATGTAGGCCAGACGATAAGAGTCATACAGCATGGAAACATACCTTTCGGTCCAACTTGTCCAGCCAACCAGATATCCTAAGTTAATCTAGTACTGTATACCAGGTAAGGATGTCCTTCCCTAAAGGACATTAGTTAACTGGATGGACTTTTACAACAATTGATACAAGTAGATCTGGAACCTGGAATCAAAAGTCTAAAGACGACCATGAATCCACAGTTGATTGTCAGGAAAACTTCATCTGGTTCACTAATGTCCCTTTGGGAAGGAAATCTGCCATATTTATCTGATCTGGCTGTATGTGACTCCAGACCCAGTCAATGTTATTGACTGAGCATTTAGGGATGGCAATAAATATTAGCTTAGCCAATGAAGCCCACATAATGTGAATAAAAAAATATAGGGAGGTTAATTCTTAGAGCCTGGTCCAGAGAAGCTGACTACAGTGTCAGTAAAAGCTCAATGACCTCTAACATGCATGGTCAAGGCCATGAATGTAGCTTCGCTTGGCATCTCTCCCTCCATCCCCATTGGCTCTGCACCCCCTTCGTTACCATTTCCCCATGCTCCCACACCCTGAGAACACTCAGATTGGCAGTGTTATCCTGCCTTGTGTGCATTCTGAAATTCCACATTATCCTCATCCTGCTCCTGGCATGAATTGGAGGCTGCTGGCAGTTTACCAGTTAACAATGGACCTTGTGCTTTCTACTCCAGCCGCCTTCTTCAGCTGAACATCCTGTTTCTGCATTTGTGCTTTCTGCTACTCAGGAAATGCTGCCTGACCATCTGGTGCAGCTCACTGTGAAGGTTGGAAGCTATACCAGATCTTTGATGGAGTGTCATCATGTGATCTGACACTCTCAGCCACCAATTCAGTTAATGCCATTGTACATACATTTGAGTTCTGTACAGAATCAAGATCATCTTCTAATGAGTCACTGTATATTAATTGGCAGCAGCCAGGCCAACAAG